CAAAATATAACCACAGGGGGCCCCACTATGAGTTATGATATATTGAAATAATATTGTATTTATTTTTAAAAACCTACTTGAATCCCTTGATAATCGATTATTTCTTCTCTCGAAATTCTGTAAACATTTTAAACTGCTTGAATCATTATACTATCACTCTACATGAAGTATAGATGATCGTTGACAAGTAAGAACGCGGGCGCGAAAAGACGAAGGCGGCGAAAGAAGGGAGTAGTGATGGGCGATACCAGGATTTTTAATTCGATACCGATACCGATACTTTTAAGATCGGTATCGGTCGATACTGATATCTATTTCGATACCAAAATAAACACAAAATTTCAATTTTCGATACCGGAAGTGAGTACTTAAATTGCCAGTATCGGCTACTTTCGATACCTGCCGTTCAGCGGAAAAACATTTTACATTACTGTATGTAACGTAAATAAAGCTATAAGAAAATCAAATGCCCGAAACGTAATAAATATATTCTATACATGACTTGGCGCACCACATTTTGAATATTAAGAGTTATTTTAGTGGTTCATTAAGTCTTATTCAACCAAGAAGTGAAATTAAACAAGTCGTTTAAAAAAGGGTGCAAGTATCGAACGATACCACGTCAGTAATCGATACCGATACCGCTGTTTGTGGTATCGCTGGTATCGAATACCGAGTACTCGGTATCGCCCATCACTAGAAGGGAGAATTAGGCTATGTTTACATTGTATCGGATCGGATTTGCGTCCGACGCAAAAACCATACCGGATAGGGCTTCTGTTTACATATGAAATGTTGTTATCGTCTCAATTTCTGCAACGAACCGGTGGTGCGGCGGTTCGCTCTTCGAAGTGGTGCGCGGTGTATCGGATCGGTTTTTGCAACGCTCTCATTGTAATGTAAACACCAGTCGGAGCAATTTCGGTTCAATCTGGCAAACAACAACTTACTATTCTAATAATATATAGAAGAAAATACGACGGCATAGATGGGCGGGGCGGAAGCTGTTTACACTTGGGCCGTAACTTTTCGCGAACGAAACAAAAACTGATCCGATACAATGTAAACATAGCCTTAAACTAAAGGGTTGAAACTTCGACTAGATGACATTTCTAAATGCCTTAAAATTCACAATTTATTTGTATTTTCGAATATTTTTTTGCAGTTTCTGTGTCTTTTTGGATATATCTTCACAACTGATGTAGTAGATTCAATAAACGATTGATTTTTCGTATGTTTTTACATGAAACACTCGAAGGGTTTTTTTCGCACAATGTGTTCCATAAGTAGGTTGTTCTCGTGACGTCAAGTATAATGAGTCCAAGCCATTTAAAAGGTTTACAGAACTTCGAGAGACGAAATAATAGATCAAGGGATTCAAGTACGTTTTTAAAAATAAATACAATATTTTTTCAATCCTAACTCACATTGGGGCCCCGTGCGAAATTTCCGGAGAACAACCTACTTATGGAACACATCAAACGATGAGCCGCCGAAGTTTCAACCCCTTATCTCTTCTGTGCCTTTAGTTTAATTCAGGGTTTAATTTTCCCTTCTTTTGCCGGCTTCGTCTTTTCGCGCCCGCGGTCCTTACTTGTCAGCGATCATCTATACTTCGTGAAACGTCATGTAGAGTGATAGTATAATGACTCCAAGCAGTTTAAATTCTTTAAAATGTTTACAGAATTTCGGGAGAAGAAATAATCGATTATCAAGGGATTCGAGTAGGTTTTTAAAAATAAATGCAATATTATTTCAATCATAACTCATAGTGGGGCCCCCTGTGATATAACTTTACTTGTTGGGCCTATCGCATTTTAGTACTGGGGGGGGGGGGGCTTGTCGCGCTCGTATTCTGCTTTTCCGCTTTATAGCACGGGGAAAACCTTTTAAGATTTAAAAATCTTAATTGAAATAGCTTTGTACTGTATGTATCATGTACAGTAATGTGCGTATTTGTATATATAGCCCCAGCGAGTTAACGCTCCGTAGAGCGTCTTGTTTGTAATAATTTCCATCACTTTTTCTTATAGAAACGTAGAATTTTGATAAACATTTGTTTATTCCGTCAATATTCATGTCTTCAAACTCATTTGTGAATTCTGACTGTCGTTGAAACAAATCTGTTGTAGAAAATACTTTTTTTACAAACGTAAACAAATGTCTAAACTATTGTACGGCAACTTAAATAAAACGGTGTTTTATGCTAAATAAAGTTAAGCAGAATTCTGGAACGTAGTTTCCCATCTCAAAATACTTTTAAGCCAAATTTTGTCACTTCTTTCGTGCTTTTAGGTACAGTATTTTCTTTAAAATTAGTAACTTATTTCTTTGAAAAAACGCTTAGGTGATTATCGCGTAATAATCCGAGGTCGCTTGACCAATCAGCGCCCACAATTTTCGATAATCACCTTTGCAGTGCATAATGTGTCATTAGCAGTGCATAACCATATTGACTATGCCTATGGGTAGCTTGTTTGTGCAGCGGATGACTCATTTGTTAGGAACTTGTTTTGACGTCACATCGCAAACAAGCAAGCATATATAAAGACGACGACGTAAGCGAATTTCACTTCGAGAATCATTGAATACATTCACAGATCTCGGGAAAATCGCATTCATGAATGATGTTGAACGATGTTATTCTTTATATTGCGAAATTTCGGTAAACTTGTGAAAAACTTGAAAGAATATAAGACGAAACTATACTTCGCTATCAAAGTTTCTGTCATCAAAATCGAAAATGACTTTAATCACAGAAACCAAAACCTTGTAAGCGAACCTTTAAAGTTCAGAAGATATCTCTATTTTCGGCAAGTTGTCGGCTGTTGTCCGTTCGTCAAACTGTCCTTTCGACAAAATGTCCGTTCGGCAAAACGTCCGTTCAGCAAAACGTCCGTCGGCAAAATGTCCGTTCGGCAAAATGTCTTTCGGCAAAGTGTCTTTCGGCAAAATGTCCGGCCACCGGAGCGTAAGCCAGGGGCGAGGGTACTAATTCCGCACGGCTATTTACCTCTAGGGACAGGAAAGCATTAGCGAAGTCTAACATTCATCAATAATCGTGGGCGCATGGCTATGTTTCACTGGGTTCACTGTTCATGGGTGGTCATCTTCACTGATCTCAAAAATATGGCGGACTGTCTTGAATAGCGAACGGTGATTGGCTAAATTTAAAATTTACTTTATTGTTATTGTTATTGTATTTTAATTTCACATCCCTTAAAAGGCTTTTCAGCGAAATTTTACATAATTGATCTAAATTTTTATACACTGTAATAATAGAGAGACACACATAACAACACACAGTCACACAACACACACACACACACACACTTGGTAGTACTACACAAATATATATGCTATTTACATCAAAATGTCTTAAGATTGGTCCTAAATTTAAATGTTTCTACAAGTCTCTGTTTTAAAATATGTTTAAAGTCTTTCGTTGTTTCGCAGGCCCTAAGTTCTGGTTTTAAGGAATTCCAAATTGTGGCCATTATAACGACTGCATGACGACAGCGAAATATATTTCATTTTTGCAAAATTTTGTAAATTTGAATTTTAATACCCTGGATGCCAGACGTTCTTCCACGTTCGTAGGAGGATTATGAGGGATACACGAAGATGCAAGCTGGGCGGGAGACATCCTCGTGATACAGAGCCTTTCAGAGCGGGCCGGTTTCTGGCATCCCTCATTATCCCCCTACCTGCGGGGAAGAACCTCTGGCACCCAGGGTAAAATTTCAAAAGCTTTTTGCGATTTTCGTTAATCAATTATTTAATACAACACTGAAAGATAAGCCATGGAACCAAACGCAGAGCAGAACAAATTTTTAAAAAGAAAGACTTGCTAAAAGAAGGGAGCAAAGACGCCGACATTTGCTACAAGAGTCTGAAAAACATTATTCAGAAACCCGAAATACAGTTTATTTGTTCAATAGATTGCTTAAAATCTTGAATCCCAATGAAGGTAAGTTTGTTTTAAATATTGATGTATTGTTTGCTTTATAATTGCTTTAAAGTGCCTATGACACGAAATTTCACCCCCAAATGTTTATGATTGCATTGTAAAGATCACTTAAAATGACTTAGCAATTTCTTTTATAGAATTTTCGTAACTTGCTTCCTTTGCAAGATATTCAACTTTGTTTCATATGCAAATATCACCGGTGTGACATCACATCGCATAATGACATTTTGAAAACGCAATATTTTACCTTGATAAAATATTTTTACAAACAAATACAGAGGATTAATTACCAGTCATGAAATCAATACATATACAAGGGCAAGTTTTAAGTTTTTTAGATACCTATTCGTCAAGAAAACTATACTTTTCTGAAAACTCATTATGTGATGTGATGTCACACCGGTGATATTTGCATATGAAACAAAGTTGAATATCTTGAAAAGGGAGCAAGTTACCAAAATTCTATAAAAGAAATTATTAAGTCATTTTAAGTGACCTTTACAATGCAACCATAAACCTTTGGGGTGAAATTTCGTGTCATAGGCACTTCAAAAAGGCAGCATATAATTTCAGTGTATTTTTATTAATTACCCAGAAAGCAAAGTTATTTTCATGCGAGAATTTGAAATTTTTCATATTTGAAATATTTCAAACTTAAAGTTTATCGATTAAAGGCAGTTTAGTAATTAGTTTTAAGAACATTTTAAAACGTTTTGCGAAGCGTTTGTGGCTGAATTTCACATTAAATTGAAGTTTGTATTACGTACAATAACATACATAAAAATACTACTCGACTGTGATTGGTTGATTTCAGTGCAGCAAATCTCAAACAGCCGTGCAAAATTCTGTATAAACAACAATACAAAATTCTGTTGCAACAGTGCAAAAATCTGTTAATAATAGTGCAAAAATCTGTAATCAACTGATTTGATTGGTTGGAAAACAATGAAATCTAAAATCGACCATTCAGCATAAAACAGTCTTCAAGTAACCTCAGAGACTGATTTACAGATTTAGAACAAAATAAACACGACTAAATTATCTTGAACAAGATTAACAAAATTTACATAATTGAGCGAAATTTTCAAGCTGTTAGCGTTGAATAATGTCGTATAACAAAGCAGGAAAATTTGTCAGTGGACACTTCGCTATCAACGTAAGTTAAAACTAAAACTCTGGGGAAATTGATTATTTTGTAATTAAAAGTGATATTTTTTAGGGTTTTAAATTTTAAAAATATTTTTAATAAAATTATCTTCTCACCATGATAACTACCTCAACTACTCCACGTTCGGAAAATATAGTGGCCTTACCAGCGAGGCGAGGGGTTTCTGCATGCATGTATTTCTAGTGAATAAAAAGGGAATACAGATGCAGTACTCACCAATAACCCAACAGTGAAATGCATTCCATGAGGTGAAGGATAATCCACTTGGGACTTACTGCTGAACTCCAAGGTTGAAAAATGAAATGTTCCTTCTGTTTCTGAAGATACAAATCTATCATTTTCAATAGTTCCTGTATGAGCTTCGACACCAATGAACGCTCGCCTACCATAAGCTAAATGTAAATGCATAACATTAATAAGCCTTCCCTGCCAATGAAACGCCACATCTCCTCGTCCTATCATGTGAACCACGGTTGACATTATAGCTGACGAATTTGCATCCAATTTGAAGTTTGCCTGGGCTCGGGTTATGGTGCGCCTTGCGTCTTTAACTTCAGCGGTCAACAGCTGATTTCCATGCACGTGAATAAGACCAGTACCATCTCCGAGAATTTTATGTATCGTCAAATTTAATTGTTTTCCATTGTTAACAATGTGTAAGGAAGCTTTCCTGGTCAGGTGGACCTCATCAAACTCATAAGAATCTCGGGATTCGTTTAACATGACATAATGATTGAAAGGTCTATTTTTGTTGTCTAATATCAAACGGTCATGTGGAACCTGATTAAACAACTGTTGGATGTAAACAGTCCCAGGCCCACCAGACGCTCGGCTCAAATCATTCAAGGCATCCCCAGCGCTGCCACCAATTGCGAGATACTGTCCAAAGTAACGATTTTGTGATCTCACGTACACTGCAAGTCTTCCACCTGATCCTCCCCCTGTGTTTTGACCTTTTCCGTTCCCCCCAGAAACATCAATGATTCCATTACCAGTGAACACAACTGTGCTAAACAGAATACTACCACCGCTTCCTCCGCCGGAGGGTGATGGACCAGCATTTTGACCTCGTGCATTCAAAGTACCATCCAAATGCAAGGCATCTCCAATTGTTAAAAAGAACAATCCTCCAGCATTTCCACCAGGATGTTGGTCCCCACATCCATTCGTACCAAATTCTCTAGGTAGGTACAAACTTCCGTATGGCTTTAAGGATACACTATAATCACGACCAATTCCGCCATAGCTGGCATACGTGCCACCAGCGCCATGGCAACCAGGTGATAGCGATTGTGATTTCACTATGTTTGGTCTGTCTGATCCAGCAGCTGTCATTAATCCTCCAGTCTCAATACTCAACGATGTTATGTCTAGAAAATGAATCCCAAATAAATTATTGCAAACGGAATGTAAATTAAGAGTCATATCAAATACTAAATACACAACAATATCACAAGGTTGACCACATATTGCGGATCCATAACGCTCACTCTTGAAATATTGAAACAAGTTATTCTGAAAAATTACTAGTTCATACTTACTCATATCAAATTGATCAGCAAACACTTTCGCTCCAAACTTCACATCTATTTTCCCTGCCAAACCTCTCATCCCGTGTGACGTCAGGAACGACAGCTGTGCCCTATCATGAGTCTCTAAGGTCGCTAGAACGAATGTCCCGGGTGAACTTGATGTCAAACTTCCATTATTATACCCCACAGTCTGAGCTTTGGACATAAATACCATCTTCCGTTCCCTCGTCAAATACAAATGTTCAACACCAATGATACGTCCGTTAACACGCAGTGCATTACCGTTTGGGCTTGCAGGGCTATGGCTGACCACAAAGAGCGATGTATCAAGTACTCCTGTACCTTTTGTGTCGATATCCAAATTCACCGGAGGTTTTGAAACCTCACCTTGACCGGTAGAACCGCGTAAATAGAAAGTATGATTACTTCCGACATAGATATATCCCGTACCGTCTCCGGTAAGTTTACCGACCTTTAAACTTCTCATTACTCCATCTTGTTTAAGTCTCATGGCTGTCCTTCGCTCGATAATAACTTCATTAAATATAAATTCAGTGATGTTTTTCTCGTCCAGTGTAACAAAAACGAGGTTCTTTCCTTGCCTTTCACCAAATCTCAACTGCGTGTAGAAACGTTTGTTTCTTAAATATCGTACAAATATCGTCCCTGGGCCGCCGTACCTACCCTGCGTCCCATTTCCGCCCGACGCTTGATAACCTCCCTGGTATAGGATTTCTTTCTCAGAGTATATCGCAATCCTCCCCCCTGCCCCACTCCCAGAACTAGTACCACCCGATGCCCCACCGCGCACATCCATCACTCCATAACCTCGATACGAGTGTGTACTCACGTAAATACTTCCTCCACTTCCGCCCCCTGCGTTACTTTTGGTCACTGCACGTCCGCCAGAAACTGTTATAATTCCATCTACTATGAAACGAGATCCAACTCTAAGAACTAGACTTCCACCTCCTTGGCCTCCTTTCTCCCTATTGGGGCCTGTACCCCCAGTTCTACCACGTTCAGTAGGGTTATACAGAGATCCATGGTACGGCCCACCTTGTTTTGTGGTACCTTCCCCACCTTCACTACCATGGCCAGCACCAGTCCCTATTGCTAGGCCTGACGGCGCGGACTTTGATCCAATGACATCGTTGTCGCCAGAACAGTCAATTCGTCCACCAATTTCAACGTGAAGAGACGAAACGGTAAACGCAAGAGAAGATGAAATGAGGGATGCATTATATTTTATGTCAATATTATCTGCAAATATCTTTACCTGATCAATATCGTCTACCACTATAATACTACTAGTGTGCAGGATAAGTGAACCAAACTCTAATACCCCCTCTGATCCTGTAAAATCTCTTTTATCCTTTCCGATGCCAAGTATAGAACTCTCGTAGAACCTCACGACTCGGTCACGTGCCAGCTCCATATTTCGCATGCCCAGAATGGTTCCCCGTGACTCAATAGAGTATCTCCGATGACCAATAATTATAACGCTATGAGGAACAACAACCAAACCTCCGTCGTCAACTTTGAAACTGACCGGGACACGTGCGGGGGTTCTCTCACTGATAATAACTGTTTGATTACGATGTACATGTATGAAACCACTTCTATCGCCAGACAGCAATCCAACACTCAACCTCTGATGGATATTTGGTTGTTTTAATAACTGTAACGATGCACCACCACGTAACATTATTTCATCAAAATCATACTCAAGTTGGCTTTCATTCAGAGTAACAAATGTGTCCTGGTTTGAAAAACGGTTATCCAATATCAGTCGTGTGTAAGTGCGTTTATTTTTTATTTCACTGATAAAAGTGGTCCCTGGACCTCCATTCAACTGAGTAGATCCACAATCCAGACTGGCACTACGGATGCTCCCACTATATGTGTACCTAGATGTCAAGGATATCCCTACACGACCTCCACTACCACAACTACCGCCACCATCTCCTCGACCACCGTCAGCAATAATTTCCCCTTTACCGACGAGATTATCAACTTTGAGATAGATACTTCCTCCGCTCCCCCCACCAGCGTTTGAACCCCGATCCCCATCGCCACCATTCACAGTTATCTTACCATCGAGTTGTATTAAAGTTGCTTTGATAATGATAACCCCTCCTCCTTTACCTGCAGTATCAGCAGATGAACCCGCTCCCCCTTCACTTCCCGGTTCTCGAGGCTTGAACAAACTTCCATATGACTTATCACCTTGATTTTTACCTCCAGGACTTGCATAACTCCCCCCAGAACCCACTTTAGAGGTTGATGATCCAGCTCCATGCCCTCCTGCGGTCACATCATCCGCCGAAATAAGTGTTCCTCTTTCTAGGGTCAAAGTTGCTGCAGCTATTTCCAAATCCCTCACACGGATTACAACGCCGTTTTTGACAATCATATCCGCTGTCTGTATTCGCAGATTTTCAGGCGCGCTAAATGTAGAGCCACTTTTCAGTGCAAAACTTCCAAATAACTGCGTGCCCGGTAGAGAGAGAAAAACAGGCCCAAATGATTTAAGATATATACCAGTCTGCGACTTTTCCGAGAATGTTACACGACTTCCTGTCTCCAGGGTAAAATGCCGCACATTCATCAGCCGTCCATTAACAGTAAGTTCTGCCCCATCAACAAACAACTTTGATGCTGTAACAAACAAGCCAGCCTTCTGAATAACAAGGTTCGTTCGAAGTATGAACGAAGTCTCTTCGGATTCACTCGTTTCTGAAAACATAACTTGATTTGCCTGAATCACGATCTCACTCCGAGTACCAGCCGACAGTTTGGCCACAGATATATCCATTTCTAGGTTACTAATTTTGTTTTTGTTGAAGAACGACACGCTAACCGGGCCCTTTACCTTTAGTTCGTCAAGAGTAACATCGTTATCAACATTGTTTGTTAACACAGTCGTAGGTTTTGTATCAGATGACATTACATAGTTATCCACTATTACAATCCTTCTTGGTAAACGACCTTTATTATCCTCAATGTATACTGTTCCTGATGCACCATTGTACTTTCCTGTGCCACCATGCACTTCAAAATCGCCTTGAAATAACATTTTAGTGCTGAGATGAAGTGCAACACGGCCACCACTGCCACCACCGCCTGCAATATCACTGTTTCCACCTCTAGCTCCTATAAGTCCCACACCTTCCAAGCTTCTAGATCGGATGTATATACTGCCGCCACTTCCACCTCCACAACCGGACATCATACAATCGCCACCACTGACCAAAATTGAGCCATCAATAACAAGTTCCTCGCTAGTTAAAATATTCAAATAACCACCGCCTTTGCCACCTTGGGATAGAACGCGTCCACCACCACCGCTTCCAAAAGAGTTAGGGGTGACCATATCACCATACCATTCTCCTCCAGAATTAACTTCACCACCTCCTACACCAGCATGACCACCACCACCACCATAATTTTGGTTAAATATCCCTCTTCCATCACCACGACCACCAGGGTGTCCTCGCTCAGATAGATCCATCTTGGCACCGGAATGAATCAGAATACTCACAGCTTGAATATTCAGCCAGCCTCCTTGTAATACCGAACCATAGCGTAGTTCTAATGTTGCAAAAACCAACGGAACTTCTGTCATGTCTGATTTCTCAAATGATACCATTGCATTGCTTTTCAGAAGCAGAGATGCAAACTTGTACTCGCCTCGTTTTGATATGAAAGTATAGTTGCCATCAACATAAAGCGCTGTACGGGCAGAAGCAGATAGCACAGTCCGACGTCCTTCACCAATGATCATGTCTATCACACCAGTAATTGTTCCTGAAAATTGATTATCTGGTCCAAGGAAGGTAACCGAAGTTGCAAGTCGGAGTTCACCATGTTTTGCAACGTGGAGACTACATTCCGGGCTTGTTGCACGCGAATTCGTGTCGATCTCCACAATAAGGCCATTAGGTATACTTATGGTACTGAGCGGACTGGTAACTAGCTTTTCAATAATCATGTGATGGTCAGGTGTTAAGATAATGCTTCCAGCCAAATGAAGTACGTCAAAGTAATAGCTGCTGACGGTTTCGTTGAGAACGACTGGCAGTTGTTTTGTAAGGCTAATATCTTTATTATCCAATATTAATGTCTTCGTTGTTAATCCTTTCTTATTTTGAAGCAACCATATCGTTCCAGGGGAACCCGAGGTTAATTTCACACCCACCCCTCCTCTCGCATCAACGTCTCCTTTGAAATTATCAATTCCTTCTGAGTTGATGTAAATTCTCCCCCCTCCTCCACCCCCTCCTTCGATCCCAGATTTCCCGCCACGCGCACGTACTGTACCTCGCCCACTGAAAACATTACCTATAGTCATGTGAACACTTCCTCCACTTCCACCGCCTGCATTACCTTGCCCATTACCACCATCAGTCGTGATCTCACCATCAAGGTGCAGTGTCCCTACCTCTAGAACAATAACCCCTCCACCCTGACCACCATTGCTACCAGTGGCAGCACCCCCACCACTCCCTGGCTGAATAGAACCAAACATTGAACCATATATAGGACAGAAAACTCCAGTAAACCCACCACCACATCCACCGTAACTGCCCCCATCCCATAAGGAGAACCCAGAGAGACCACCTATACCTGGTCCTGACCTATACCCAAGACCATCAGATATAACCCGGGCCCCCATTTGTATGTTTAACTCAGGAGTCTTGAGGAGCACCAACGGACTTTCAAGAATACCGCTGTATTCAATGTTAATGGACACAGCACGTACTTCGACGCTAGATTTTCCACCATGGTTGAAAACAATATGACCGCCACTTAAAACATGAATTTCACGAAACGTCAGAATGCCTTTTTTTGAAGATTTGGTTCCGATAACTCCTTCAGGAGAAACTGACACTAATGCATTTCGTCCAATGATTAATTCTTGGCCACCTTGTACTTTACCAAACACATCAAAACTTGGTTTCAATGTCGTTTTTTTAACAAACACCCGAGGAGCTAGGGTCAGCTCTGCACCAACCTCAACGCTTACAGCGCAACGTAACACAAACGGTTGACTGCCTGTCACACTACTAGATCCCAAAGATAATCTCTGATTGTTTAGCACACGAAGTTGACCGGTGAAATCACCCTCTAAATCTAAAACACTGATATTGACGGTTATATTGGAACTAGGATTCACCACTTCAACTCTCCCTTCTTGAGTAATTCTCAGTTTTTGCAAAGTATAATCAGCCTGTGTTCCATGCATGATACTGGTTATGCCACCACTTGATCGTCCATCATTGTTCACAATCGTTGTCTCATATGGTAAACCTATTAAATATTCTCTAATAAAGACAGTCCCTGCTGCTCCACATGTAGTCGTACATCCCCCAAAACTGCTCACTACTCCTGAGTACGCTTGCTTATCCTCAACATAGACAGCAATTCTCCCCCCAGATCCTCCACTCATTCCATTTGCTCTAAACACTCCAGATCCCTTGAGCATTTTAGCTTTAATCATCAAACTTCCTCCACTACCACCACCTTCCTGTTGTGACCCAAAACCATCAGCATGTACCACACCATCCACATGTAATACATCAGTGACACTAATAGCCAGTCTTCCACCACCGCGATGGGGACCTCCACTGGAATCCAGACTCCCACTCCCAAACTCATTTGCTTCAAACACAGAACCGTAAACAGAATTTTTCGTAGCACCAGCGCCTTGTCCTCCATGACTTGCACCTACCCCTCGGCGGCCGTGATATCCTGGACCCTGTTTATACCCCCCACCACTAACTCCAATAGATGCAAAGTTATGTATTTCCATGTTGCTTGAAGTAATGTTAAAGGATTTCAACTCAGATTTTGAGAGTAACACAGAATATGCATCAAAGATCAATTGTTTGCAAACGAACATGAAATCGCCATCAGATACCTCTATTTTTGCATACGGTCCTACATGAATTTCATCTATATTGACCTTTGATAAACCAGAAATAGAAGCAACAGAGTATTCTCTCAACATCACGGATTTTGTCTTTAATTCACCTCCAGTCCATATGAAATTCACCCTCTTTGCTATGGTCAACCGAGAAGTTTTAATTATCCCGCGAAGATTGACAGTACTAGTGATCATAACCGGTACTTGAATGTCCAGGATACCAATAACATCTAGCTCACACGCTATCCTTTGATCAGAGGGAAGTTCCGTGATAGTCAATGTATACCCAGTAGGTATAACTATCTTTCCACTTCCGTCAGTGCGTAATAAGTTAACTGTAAATTGAGGAACTGAAACCTGGAATGTCGCGGATTGTCCAACATACAGGGAATCAATCTCGACCAATGTTGTGTTTGATGGTAGAAAAGCAGATTTGGATCCCTGGCCCTGAACGGTAAGCATTCCTTTAATACTGTTCCTGTCGTAGATATATATTGTCCCAGATGCACCTCGATAGAAACCATTACCCCCATATGCCTCGTATTGTCCTTGGAAGTCCTCCACAGAGGAGTTCATGTGGATTCCAATTCTACCACCACCCCCTCCTCCCGAGTTGCTTCCTGCACTCCCTCCACCATTTGCTTTGAATACTCCTGTGCCTTTCAAATCTTGTGCCAAGATAAGCAGACTGCCACCGCTTCCCCCTCCTCCAGTATTAGTATTACTCCCACTTACATCTATCACACCATCATGAATAAATTCACGTGCAACACGAATCTTGAGCTGACCGCCACCCCCCTGGAACCCACCCCCACTTACACCATAACTCTCAGGCAACACCACATCACCATGTACATCAATAGAGTTACCTCTGCCACCAACCCCGCCGTATGAACCACCTACACCAGATGACAGTCCACTCGACCACTGTACAGGAAGGGCTCGGAGACTTCCTGCTGCATATATTCGGAGATGCTCGACATGTAAGGTATTCTTAAGTACACGTCCGGGATCAGCTTCAAAACTCATTGTGGCCTCGCTATGAACTTCAAGGCGTCTATATCTGTACATTCCTGGTTTGAAAACACAATTTTGACCTGGAAGCAGACGGAAGTCAGTATAATCACAAGTTACATTGTAGTTCTCATGGTATTTTGTGACATTTACCAGCCTATATATTCCATCATTGTCTGAAATATGCATCACAACTTGATAAGGGACTGGGGACGAAACTGAACTCCATTTTCCTTTGCCACAAGGGTTATACTTTATATCATCCGAAGTATAGTGCACCGTACCATATGGACAGAGATTACTCGTTAACGTAGGTCCTCGACTTTGCTCCAATTTTTCACCATACGTTGCGACAACTTTACTAGGGACGCGATATGCAGCTCCGTAATCTAACCTCAATAGATCAATATTTAATTTGACTTGACTTGAATCTGTGCTTTCAACAATACCACCTCGTTGTACGTATAATATATCGAACTGAAATACCCCTGGCGCTGCCCTGTAGAATGTACTACCAGGATATAACGCCGTAAATTTACCATTCTTTGCAACAGTGATAGCTTTCACACCAGTCAAGCTTCCAGCAACATGTACGTTTACACCATCAGTCAATAATATATTCTCTGGAAGGTGAACAAGTCCATTATTCTGGATATGAATGCTGCTCTGTAGCTTCATCGGTGATGTCTTTTCAAAGTTGTTCATGGACAGATAAACATTTTGTTCGTTTCCAACTCGCAACGCACCACTTCCATCACCACTTAGTTTGGCGGTTATTTGCAATGTCATCGATTGAATTACAGCACAAGAAATCATATTCAGTTTCCCTCCACGTAGAATCTCTATTTCACCGAAATAATAGTCGAAAGCTTTAGGCTGACATACTAGAGTTGCGTAGCCGGCTGAATTTTGGTGCATATTGTCCAACACAAGTTTTCCATTCGAGTTCTCTTTCTGTATATAAATCATTCCGGACGGTCCCGGTGTCTTACCATTCCCACCTGAGATTTGAAGGTCAAAAAGTAGCGAGTTTTCTTTATAATATATAGCAAGCATTCCTCCACTTCCCCCTCCGCCATCGTGACCTCCATTCCCTCCGGAAACTGAGATGGTTCCATCACCTTGAAGTGTATTTGTTGTGATCCAAATGCTACCTCCAGCAGCGCCACCAGCCGTGCTGCTAACAGCGTTTGATCCTCTGAAAAGAATAATAATTTAAATTAATGCCTAATAACGTTGTACGTTAACGTTAGTCACTTTAACTTTGTATAATAACGTAAAATAGCATTGTTACAGCAGACTACGCCAGAGCTACAAAGAACAACGTTACAACGTACGTTATTTCATAAATTCTATATCTCATCAACTCGCTAACAAGTTGTTACTTGTAAAAACTTGCTATTAATTGTGCTGCATTTAAAAAGTATTAACAAGTTGAGAGTAACAAACTTGGGAGTTTATAATATATCAAAACTTTTACAATACTTTGACAAACTTGCTACAAGGCTATTGCGAATAATTAATTTCTGAAGTAGGTTGATTGTAGGTTTTCTATTTCTTAAATGGTCCCTTTGGGTACGTGTACGAAAATAGAGTAGACTAAAGTCACAAACCTTGCAGAAAGTTATCACAAACCTTGCAGAAATTTCTCCATTATTTACCAGACGATCTTTCACAACTGCACGAATTACCCCACCTCCAGGAGCACTCGGTGTGGACTGGTAACGAGGGGGACCACCGCCTTCACCAGGGAATGTTGGTTCCTTAATGTAATCATAAGGCTTACCAAGTGACCGCTGACCTCCATAACCCGCATGGGAGCCTCCTGACGACTCTTGTCTTGGACCTCAAGGAAAGAAAAAAAAGAAACTTTTCTCACAACCATCAACAAAAAATGAAAATAGGCAGCATATGTTCTTGATCTTCATTAAACCTAGCCTGCGAACAGGCTCTCAAGGTGAATTGAGAGCCTGCATCGATGACTAATGAATTTGAATATCTGCGTCTCAAATCGTGACGCGAAATTCTCATTGGTCAGATGCTATAATTTATATGTTTCCGCTGAGCTCTATATATGTCAATTGCTGAAGCACTATGCATAAAAAACACATTAACTGATCAAATTGGTCTTGGCCATCTTATCTCAAAGCACGAAATGTTCTGTTTTGAGAAAACAGTTCAACTTTGGCTTGAATATCTTATAAATCGCTTGAATATCTTATATTTCGAAACACAGTATAAACTGTACGGTCTAAATTTAGTTTGCACGGTCTAAATTTAGTTTGCACGAAAGTTGTAAACAACACCATATAAGGATAGACATTCCATATTTGGAAAAACGAACGATACGGGGCAGATATTCAAAATTGCATATCATCAGTGCAGGCTCTCAATTCACCTTGAGAGCCTGTTCGCAGGCTACATTAAACCATACATGATATGTGACCAAATAATTTTAAAAAGCCTAATTGGCACAGCAAATTTTTGTCTTAATAAATACATTTAACTGCAGTAACAAATTTACGTGGTGTTTCCACAAACAAAACTATTATATATTTAACTCTTTTGAACACCAGGCAATTTTATTCCTCCCGTAGCGGAACGACCAAACATAGCCGATCGAGACAAAAAGCATTGTCAAGTAAATTACATATAAGTAAGTCAATCAAATGAAATCATAGTAAAATCGCTTTAGGTTGGGTCAACTGCTGCAAGTGTGGGCCTAACAATATCTATTATATTATTAATAGCAGCAGAGCAAAAGATAAAACTAGTAGTTCAATACGTAGTTCAATAATGACTCAATACCACAACTTATATAACAAGTCCCTGTTATTAGATTCCAACATCAGTATTCACTGACCTCCATAATTCTTATTCATAACTCCTTGTTCAAATGCCTGACCATCTACAGTGATCCTTGCAGTCTCTTCCACTACGATGACTTCACTTTGTATAGTCAATATTCTTGCCTGGATCAGGCCTTTAGCCTTGACTTCAAGTCTGCTAGTTTTCAAGACATTCCCAATTTCAGCATTTTTAAATATTATCTTCCCAGCAGCCTTTACGGTCACTTGTTCAAAAACAAAGTGCCCAGAGACATATGTGCCATCTGTGACTGATCCGCTGTTGACGCCAAAATTGATCGTCGTCTCAGATGCCGTCAACTCCTTCAGCCCGTTCACACGTCCCTCGCAATTAAACACAGTATTCTTAACTTCAATACTTGGTGGCATCCCCAGCGTGCCCGTTTTATAGACATGGATATTAACAGGGAATATAACACCAGTTTGACGCACATTAACAGTTTGCCATTGCCCAATATGTAGATAACTAGTTACGTCATTACCTACGTTAGTATTTATGACGTCACTCAGTTTGCCAATCCCCATTGTTTGATGATGTGTTGAATATTCCAGGACTAAATGCGAGCCTCCAGTTAAAGTAACTTCATCAAAATCATAGTAAGTATCATTAGAAAGTGAGGGTAGCCATGTTCGGGCATTATTTTTGCGCGGGTTGGCAAAGTTGACGAGTGTTGTGCGAGGTTTCTGGTTTTTGTTTGAAACCCAAAGATATTTCAAATTTTGTCGGTAATCCTTTCGATATACTGTCCCAGCAGCCCCTGCTTCGTGCAATGAACTCCCACCAAATGCAGCAAACTGACCGGTAAATGAACTGGAGTGATAATACACTGCTATTCTTCCGCCACTGCCACCACCTCCATAATCATTACCAGATCCCCCGGATGCATCAATCACACCCTCACCCTCGAAGGTTGTTGTGTTGATATATATACTACCCCCACTGCCTCCTCCATGGTTTATCCCTTTCTCATATACACCGCCTTTACTCTCGATATTACCGTCTACTTGTAATTCACGCGTAGTTATCTTTATAACTCCTCCGCCAGGGGATTCTCCTCCACCTCCAACACTTCCAAATGACGTGGGATAAAACACACTGCCGTAAAATGCCCCGATGTCTACGTTCTCTCGCCCGCGACCACCAGTACCACCATGACCAGCGCCAGATGAGCCACGTGGGTTGTATTCTCCAGAACCTGCCCCCAGGCCACTAACGGTGCGCTAAAATTAAGGAACAAAGTTACAGTTAATGAAATACTCGAATTTGATTTGACGAAAGCTGCATTTACAACAGCAGACTAGTTTTCATCAACTCTTTCAAACTAATCAAATATTATCAACTTCAAGGGCATTTTCTGCATTGGTATTAACTTTTTGTTTCTGTCTGGATCTTAATTTACTTTCTAGAAATTTTCAGATTAATAGCGAAACGCGAAATCATAATTATAATTATTTCACATAGCTTGAACACTTCTGCTATATATAAGGTACACAATTTTGAAAAGGCACTAATTGTATAAATGGAAAATTTAACCGCCCCGCCCCCCTATGAATTCAAATCGTGTGCGCAAGTCAATTTTAATGCGCAGGGTATTTTTAAAAAAGTTTTATTGTTGATCATGAAATCTACCCATATTCACATGAATGGTCAATTTAGCCGAGAATATGGGAAAATGGAGTACATTTTTATGTACCATGTTTAAGGTATATTAAATAACTAAAATCGTGATTTTGTGTTTGGCTACTGTTCTAAAATATCTAAGTAAATTAGAAGTGATTTACCGAAACATTTCTTAGCATAAGCGAACATTACAGTTCAGTACGTATGCAATCTGAACAACTAGTCTAAGGTTAAATAGTGGTTATGCCGTGTATAATAACCCGGAAGCTACATCATAAATTATTTTTATGATGGAAAAGATGTCTTGTTACAATTATTACCACTGCTTTGTAATTTGCTTCCAAGATTCCAGATTGTTCAATTGTGACGAGATTCGCTGTTAGGTCCAGCTTAGTAGCTTGGAACTTGCCACCACTGTTGATAATAAGTTGATTACAGGACACAGAAAGACCACCAGCATCACTTTCAATTTCGAATATACCACCACCTTGTACCTTGATGTCATCAAATGACGTGTGACGCGATATTTTCCCTTCGGGGTCGATCATTTGTCTAGTATCAATAAAATAATAGTAGTAATGCATGGTATAGTGTGCTTAGATATGGTATGGTACGGTACGTTAAGGTATGGTATGGCATGGATAGTTTGGTATGAAATGGTATGATATTGTAACTACCCTGTAGCAGCAAGTTCTGCTTACCTTAAAATGACTCTCCCGCCATTCGCTACAGTAAGATTTCTGGCTCCATTTAAGCGTCCTGCAACAATTATCTTTATTCCATCAACCACAAAACTTTCCGACAATGTCAATTCCCCTCGTGGGTAAACATTAATACCCCAAGGTAAATCAGCTGACTTGCTCTCTCCTTCTTTTCCAGTAATGACCAGCCTTTGGTTAGCAAGTATATGTAGCAATCCAGTTTTATCGCCTGCGATGGTACCAATGTCCCATTCTAGGTTACCTTGGGTGGAGTTTCTCAAGGACGCTAACTGACCCAGACCACGTATATCAAGATGACTCAGAATTACTCGGGGCGAACCAACAGAGGGTGTCAACCAGGTCCTGCCTCCGTCGCGGTGGATGTCCTCAATGGTATCACTAGAGGGTTTTCCAATATTTTGGTTGTCTATAATTAGTTTTCGAAACCCGCCATCTTTGCTAGCTAAGTACACTGTACCAGCTCCTCCTGGGGATAAGTTGCTTCTCCCGCCATAAGCCTCGAGCTTACCAGTAAACGTGTTGTTTTTAAATATGCTTGCTATGCGACCACCGCCACCTCCACCACCATAGCCAAGACCGTTTCCACCATTCACCTGTATGGTACCTCTACCAGCGAAAATATTACTCTGGATCCAAATACTACCACCACTACTTGCACCGGAACCAGCACCCAGACTGTCGCCACCGGTTGCAATGATGGTTCCGTCAACAGTGGTTATTTCATCAGCGTACAGTTTAACAGCACCACCACCTGGAGCACCATTGTTATCGTCAGTACTACCATATATAGTTGGACTCTGGAAATCTCCGTAAACAGTACCAGGGCGGTCGAATTCTACTGTACCATATCCACCACTGCCACCATGACCAGCTCCTCCGTTCCCTAGAAATCACAATGACAATAAAAAGGTTGTCAAAATATTGCATTTACCAAATTCAGTTAATTAACGTCCGCTGTTCAAACACGGGAAGTTAACCGTTGTATCACATTTTATAAGAAATATCACTTGTAGTTTCCTGTCTTCTTCAGGTCTATTTGAAGGGGTTAGATGAGACTGCTTTTGATCAAGTCACAGGAGTAAGTAAGCTCGTTAATTGGGTGAATAATATTTCAAACTTAATAGACTATTTCCCATCTCAAATTTTCCTCAGACTGTAACTAATTACTTGCAATCCAAACCAATTCTCGTTTGGTATTTATGCCCGAAAAGGTGGACATTAACTATACCTTTCCCAGTCCCTAAGGTAAACCCAGATGATTTTGCTACAATGCTGCCTGCGACTTCTATCGTTATATTCCGGGCGTGCACATCAACACTTTGACCACTGGCCATCCCTCCAGGAAACAAGTGAAATTTGTCTGAGATATTCAACTTCAGAGACTGAGTAAGAGACTCAGGCTTATAGAAATCAAGTTGGGCATTTGGCATGACAGTGAGTGAACCAAGTCTAAAGCTGTTGTCATTTAATCCATACGAACTAGCCTGCAAGAACAAGAATATATTAAGGAGAAAATAAGAAAAAAATAAAACTAATTGTGACAATTAGTCCAGATAAATTGCGAAGCAATGTTTTTGTTTCATTAACAAGAGGTAAACTAGAAATACATGCATGCAGCAACCTCTCTCCTTTTTTAACAGGTGAAATATAGAAATTCCACATGAAATATTCCATGTTTAAAATAATAGCAGATATATGAATGAAATCGAAAACACAAAGCAAGTACGGTATGGAATTTAATAAAATTTAATACTGAAATGTTTATAACACTTACACAAGTCCCAAACATTATTAGCAAAGACAACGATTAAATTTATTAAAAACATCTGGTTCGTCTTCAACAAAATTCGTGTTTATGCATGCCTTTCACACTTTGTATCACGGTTGACAGCCACTAATTCACGGAACTGCAAGCTTGCTTCCAGTTAAAAGCGAAATACATCGCAAAAAATTGAAAAATGAAACGCATTTGTATGCGTTTCATTTAGCACAGGTAATCTCAACTGTTTTAGGGTAAAATAACCATGGCGGTCTACATGGCATATGTGCCAAAACCTGAATCCGGGACGAAAGTCCTGAAAATGACCCCGCCCTGAAACGGCAGTGTCGACATAGCTCTAACTTCAGAAAACAAAAAGCGATAGTCTTTCCGAAGTGCTTATTGTGTTCAGAAGGGTTGCTTTTAGGGGTGGTCATTGGAAGAAAAAAATTGTCTAAGTATAATATTTTACAAGAAAATGACCATGCACCACCCCAGGTAAATTGCTAATTGTGCATAAAATAACTAATATGCCTGGCAGAAATTAAATATTCTTATTTCCTAAAAAAAATTATCATGGGGCAAAAAACTATGCTTAATTTAATATAAACATTGTTGATTTCATAAGGATTGTCATTGTTTTCTTTAAATATAATACATTTTATTTCACTTACCCCCCACGAAAACACGATTTCAGCCATATTTTGCAGTCTTGTTTGCCTTTTATCGCCGAATCTGGCAAATATCATCCAGTTGTTGTACTTTTACATAATCATAAATGGCTGAAGAAGATTTCAAAAAAGGTTTCATCAAGTTGTGAGACAGTGCAGTGTATTTTACCTTCGATATTGTGTCCTTCGATATTTCGTCAAATTGCCGCCATTTTAATGGCTCGCCGCTTCTCTGCCCGATAAATGCCACTTCTTCGTTTTCATATGTATTTAGATTACAGTATCCAAGAGTACTTCATTGTAGAATAGTCCCAATCGAAAAATTGACAACATTTGTCCCATTTAGAAGGAAAAACCCTCCCGTATACCATTTAGGTTCAAACGTTTCGTGAAAATATTCACCCCCCCTGTCATGTGTCCACGAGAAGTTTTCGCGAAGATTGCGCGTGACTTTCAAATGATTTGTTTTTTATTTTGAAGCTATATGGTATACAGGAGGGTTTTTCCTTCCAAATGGGACAAATATTGTCAATTTTTCGATTGGGACTATTCTACAATGAAGTGCTCTTGGATACTGTAATATAAATACATATGAAAACGAAGAAGTGGCATTTATCAGACAGAGAAGCGGCGAGCCATTAAAATGGAGGCAATTTGACGAAATATCGAAGGACAAAATATCGAAGATAAAATACACTGCACTGTCTCACAACTTGATGAAACTTGGTTGAAATATTCTTTAGCCCTTTATGATTATGTAAAAGTAGAACAACTGGATGATATTTGCGAGACTCGGCGATAAAAAAGCAAACAAGATGGCAAAGTATGGCTGAAATCGTGTTTTCGTGTGGGGTCTATTATAGTTTGGCAGTTAGGCGGTTTTGGCGCATTTGAGATGGCGGTTTTCGGATTATCTCAATTTTCGTGGCGGTTTACGGTGAAGAAGTAATCACTCGGTAATGGAAAATCGTTGAGCATAGACTATATATATAACTCATGAGCTCCATTTGAAGATTGGCTGCCAATTCACAAAAATAAAAGCCCAGACAAAGAAATGAACGTGTCCACAAAACAAAACAATTATATTTATTTTTACCATGCGAACCTACGTCAAGGATCTTATTGACGTTAACTATTTTTTTATTATAAACGCCTGAACTCTGAAGTATTTTGTTTTTAATTTTCTTTGTTCAGAAATGAAGGGAGGCAAAACATTTCAATTCCTACAGACAGAATGTCTGTACTCCCCCACAAGCTTGCAATAATAGTTAGTTATAGCTACGTGAAGTATTGAAATTCTTTTCAGAGATACTGCATGTGTTCTATTTAGGTCTGCAACTTGCGAGGGGCAGCCCTGTATTAGAAAAACTGATGACGGTTACGGTTTTCACGAAGAAAACACGGGCGATTAACGGTGAAGGAGACAAAAATAGGACGGTTTGCGGAGCGACCAACCCCCTATAATAGACTCCCGTGAGGGGGGGGGGGGGTAAGTGAAATAAAATGTATTATATTAAAAGAAAACAATGACAATCCTTATGAAATCCACAATAATTATATTGATCTAAGCATAGTTTTTCATCCCATAATAATTTTTTTTAGGAAATAAGAAAATTTAATTTCTGCCAGGCATATTAATTATTTTGTGCATAATCAGCAATTTACCTGGGGTGGTACATAGTCATTTTCTGGTAAAATATTATTCTTAGACAAATTTTTCCTTCCAATGACCACCCCTAAAAGCAACCCTTCTAAACACTATAAGCACTTCAGAAAGACTATCGCTTTTTGTTTTCTGAAGTTAGAGCTATGTCGACACTGCCGTTTCAGGGCGGGGTCATTTTCAAGAATTTCGTCCCGGATTCAGGTTTTGGCACATATGCCATGTTGACGCCATTGGTCATTTTACCCTAAAACAGTTGAGATTACCTGTGCTAAATGAAACGCATACGAACTCATATACAGGTCCTAGACTTTGTAAAACAACAAAATATATCTTTGCAAAATGAACTTAAAACAATTTTTTAGTGCGAGCTTGTACACGCACATGCGCCATCGAAGACCGTCCATCACATAATGGAGGACAACTTTGCATTTCGCTATGTTCTCAAATACCCGCGTGTAAATAGTCGGGTGGAATTAGTACCTCGCCTCGGGGCCGGGCTTACACCGTTGGCTCGGGGATAATATACTTATTATATATTTCGATCATATTTCACTTTCATTCGATAGCGAATCGACCAGATTTGAAGCTTGCGTAAAAATCATATTTAGAATCTTTTTTTTTATAACAGGCGGTAAATTATATCATGTTATAGATAATTTTAATGCCAATGACGAAGAAACAGTTTCCACTCCCCGAGCAAGTTAAAAATTACACATTTTGTTCATATTTATTTTTTATTCTCAGCTTTGTTTGTTTGGTTTTGGTTTTTTGGTTTTTTGGTTTTTTGGTTTTTTGGTTTGGTTTTTTGGTTTGTTTTTTTGGGTTTTTTTGTTTGTTTTTTTGTTTGTTTTTTTGTTTGTTTTTTTGTTTGTTTGTTTGTTTGTTTGTTTGTTTGTTTGTTTGTTTGTTTGTTTGTTTGTTGGTTTGTTTGTTTGTTTGTTTGTTTGTTTGTTTGTTTGGTTGTTTGTTTGTTTGTTTGTTTGTTTGTTTGTTTGTTTGTTTGTTTGTTTGTTTGTTTGTTTGTTTGTTTGTTTGTTTGTTTGTTTGTTTGTTTGTTTGTTTGTTTGTTTGTTTGGTTGTTTGTTGGTTGTTTGTTGGTTGTTTGTTGGTTGTTTGTTGGTTGTTTGTTGGTTGTTTGTTGGTTGTTTGTTTGTTGGTTGTTTGTTTGTTGTTTGTTGTTTGTTGTTTGTTGTTTGTTGTTTGTTGTTTGTTGTTTGTTGTTTGTTGTTTGTTTGTTGTTTGTTTGTTGTTTGTTTGTTTGTTTGTTTGTTTGTTTGTTGTTGTTTGTTGTTGTTTGTTGTTGTTGTTTGTTGTTGTTTGTTTGTTTGTTTGTTTGTTTGTTTGTTTGTTTGTTTGTTTGTTTGTTTGTTTGTTTGTTTGTTTGTTTGTTTGTTTGTTTGTTTGTTTGTTTGTTTGTTTGTTTGTTTGTTTGTTTGTTTCTGTTTGTTTGTTTGTTTCTGTTTGTTTATTT